TAAAAGAAAAAGAATAAAAACATCAAGAGAACATCAAAGATATGATAAAATAACTAAATCTCTAATAATCACTCCGTTTACTGCTACTACTATTATCTCCATATATGTGTATGCATGAAAAAAAATCTCAGTCACTCATTCACTCAATCATTCACTCACTCACTCACTCATCTAATGAGCAACAAAAGAGAAAGGAACTCAAAGGAGAATAAAAGCCAGGAGAATTCTAATCACACACATACATATGCAGGAAGAGGAGTAACATTCAAGGCGAATTTGTTGGCATTAGATAAAAGCTAATATCATATAAATAAGTAACTAAACCCCTGCGTTTAATCAAAATTAAACTCAAATTGAAAGCTGCATGTGAAGCTCTCTTTCATTTCTCTTCGTCTTGAACTCTACTATACTGTACGCACAGCTTATCGAACACCAAAGCATCCATTGCTACGCTCTCTTACACATTGCTTTACTACTACACTCTTCTTGATTACTTGGATATTTGGCCAGCTGAAGTAACCACGCATATATATATATATATATATACAAATATATATGAGAAAAACTCTGAATTTAATTTGAATAACGTACGGTATCTCCTTTAAACGAAAGCGAATCTTTCTAAAGTTATTGTCTATATTATTAAAGGCAATTGACTTGAGACAACGAGCAGATGATGTATTTTTTTTTTTGTTTTTTTTTTTGATGCTCTTTGCTTTTGAGGACCTAAGGATGAAATCAACAAAACCCATCAAAATCTGGTAAAACGTAATTATAAGAAATTTATTTTTTTTCTTGTTTCTTATAAATAGATATTACTATTATTATTATCATTATTATTATAATTATTTAATTTGTGATTTTTTTCCAGAAAAACGATATATTTTTTTTACATTTCCATATACTTCACACATACACACAATTTTCTTTTACAGGCATTTGAGAAGTTATCTTAACCCCAAAGCCATTTATGTTTAAAACGAAAAATTTTCAAAAAAAAAAAAGAAAAAAAGTGAAAAACAAAACTTGCAATAGTTTTCAAAATTTCTTAAAGAAAAAAAAAAAAAAAAAAAAAACTTTTTTCTTTTTTTTTTTTTTAAATTTATATAACAAGAAATATATTCTTAACCGATTTCAACCCTTTTCGTTGTCCTCAACTATATACTCATGACCACACCAAACATTTCGGCTGCTCTCTCTCTCTCTCACTCTCTTGTTTCCTCCTCCTCTTTCTCTGATGAAAGAAAATGGCTGTTGAAGAAAAAAAAAAAAAAAAAACATAAAACAATAGAGACTTTTTGAATGCCTTAAAAAGAAAATTTTCTAAAGGAAAAAATTTGATGCTTTCAAATTATTTCGAATTGTTTTTTTTTTATTCTAAAATTAAAAAAAAAACAGAAAATAAATAATTTTAAAGCATCAATTTTTTTTAAAAAAATTTCTTTTTACATTTCGATGAAATATCAACGATTTTAATGTGTAAGCAGCAGCCAATTGACCTTAGTTTAACAGCAATCCTCTAAGATGAATAAGAGTTCAATCAATCCTTCAATGGGATTTAAATATTATTCCATTCTATCCGCATTACATATATAAACATGAAAAACGAACAATACGAAAGAGTTCAGCGAAATAATAAAAAAAGGAAAACAACAACACTCCATCATATGCTATATAAAGCAAACTTATTTAAAACAAGAATATATTATTAGAAATTTAATTTTTACTTAAGTAACTCTACAGAAATGGCAAACATTTTCTCCCACTCAGGAATCCTTTCTTTTTTGCTTTAGCTTTAGTAAAGTTTTCAAAACCTCACCGTATTTATTGATTGACATTAGCAGTAGAGTATAATGAACTCATTCAGAATCAAACATATATATACCATACCTACCGTATTAGATAACGAAGCAACTCTTCCCAAAAAAAAAAAATAAAAAAGAAAAACAAAAGATTTTTTATAAAAAAAAAAATCTACCATAAGCATAAGCGATTAAATCACGTATCGCTCAAGTTTAGCAAAGTTTAGCTTAATGATTGAAAACAAGGCAAGGCCGCATATTAGATCCTCTTCACTATTTCGCCCAATATAGTCATCATTCGTCCATTTTCTTAATATTACATCAAAACTTACGCATTATCTTCATGGAAGCCCTCAAGACATCAATTAACATGATCCAAATTTAGCGCATTTACTTTCACTTTGCTTTTGTCATAATAAACCGCATATAATAGATTTTGTCAAATCCCTTTATATCGTGCATTCAATTGCTCATGTTTAATTCACTGCGGCCCAATTTCCATCAGAAAACATTAAAAACTGTATTATTTCACTATATATATAGGTTTTTTTTTCTAAGAAATCTCTTGGGATCCAAAAAAATAGATGTATGTGGTCCAAATTCAATACAGCTATTATGTACGAATTTTCATTACGACATACCGCAAATTAGGTATTTTTAGAGTATATAAGAGATTTAATTTTCGTCAAAATCCTTGTACTGTTAAAGGGTTCAAAAATTGTCCCCGTCTGATTCAAATTTTGCAAAATAGTTTAGAATGTCAAAAGCAATTTTTACAGCGAAATTCTAAAAATGACATATAACAAACATATAACATAAGGTCTTATAGCGGAACTGATCGAAGAAGTGCCCCGACCATTTTCAATAGCGTTCGTGCCTTGGGGCACGATAAATCAGTGTAATAAATTTCAAAAACTTTGGCCTATAAATTGAATATAAGAAAACAATATGGACAGATGGACAGAAATTTGGAAAATCTTTCTGAAAGGTGCGCCTATCCTTTCCGTCCTTTTGGATATTCCATACATCCGCACAAGCTTAACATACTCTTGTGTACTACAAGGAGGGGCGTAGGATGTAATAAATCGATCCAAGTTAATTTTAAAATATTGGAAAACAAGCTTCAAAGTACTTTTAGATAATTACGTTCATCTTAAAATGCTACCACACCTCAGTCTAATGAATAAAACATGTAAAGTATTTTTTTAAGTATAGACTAATAACTTCCGATAACCAATCAGAGTCAATTCGAAAACACGGTTTCTTTTTTTTCTTTATTTCTTACAAAACTTTTACTCGATTTACATAAATATTCTTAACAAGATTTCTAAATCGATCTGCAATTTCTTCTATACAAACAACAACAATAAACGAGTCAATAGCAAAAGATTGACAGCGAGGCAGACAACATTGGATTGACTTTCACGTCTTACTTTGATCAAGAATGCATTTGCAAATGCAAAGCCAAACTAAATATATTTTTATACTTTACTTGCGATTGAAAATATAAATATAACCGTCATTTTTATCATCATAATTATCATCGCTATAATGGCTGCAATCGTTTTCCTCAAAATTATACATCAACAAAAAACGAATCAAAATTTAAGGCTAAAACTTTTTTCGCTAAAACGAAGCCTTTTGTTCACTTATATATTAAAGCAGATATTGGAACACAATATGCTCCTACCATCCCACACTTAATCCTGGGACGACTTTTCAAAATGAGACGGAGAAAATAATCCGATACAATCCATTTTCAATAGTATTGGTCCTTAGGCTAAAACATGTCCATATAACTAATTTCATTAAAATGTTTCAAAAATTGCGACTCTGTGTTGAGCACAAGAATATAAACATTGATTCGAAAATTGCGATTTGTATATGGAACAAAAAAAAAAACACAAGACAGGCGGACACACTTGAATCGATTCAACGAGTGATTCTGAATAGATCAATATAATAAAAGTTGTCTCTACCTCAAGTCCTTCTGGATGTTGCACACGTCCGCACAAACTTGATATGCCTTCTATCATAAATGATGCAAAAAGACGTATAAAAATAGAATATTATTTCAACACTGAATAAATCAGAATTTTTTCCCATATGTGTCTTTAAGTAAGATATATAATGGCTTAGAAACAATATTTCACATCATAAAAGAGAAAAAAATATTCAAAATCATTCATTCAAATATTCAAAATTGTGAAAAACATTCGTAAAAAAAGTACAAAAATATTTCAAAACTTCTTCTTAAATATCTTGCTAGCAGTGAAAACGAGAAACTAGTAAATTTTGTAAACATTAAAAATGAGAAGATTAAAAAAGTGAAAAATCCAAACTTTTTCCCTTATTCAAACTTTAAGAATTGGGCCCGCAAATTATCCGAGTATAACGATAACTTTTAAAAGGAAAAAAAATCGAAACGATTCCTCCATTCGAAAGAATTATTAAAAATTTATAAGAGAAATTAAAAATTTTAAACTTCGAAGCAATCATCCATGAACGAGAATAGAGATTCGTCTTCTTTAAAATTTAGCAATTAGTGAGAATTGAAAGCGAAAAACTATTTCACGTAAATTTTTAAAAATTCCAAAATTCAAAACTGAAAACTTCGTCTTCTTCAAATTTTTCAACTTCAAGAAATAAGTCACAAAATTACTCGAATGAAGTGAAAACTTCCAAAAGGAAAAAAATTCGAAGCGACTTCTCGAATATCTACTTTCAATTCAAAACAAGTAAGAAAATTATACTCGATCGTCACCGAACCTTTCATACCCATCCCCCGTTAACCTAAAAAAGACAAAAACAGGAAAAAAAAAATATATATATATATATATATTCATGCTCTATAATATAAAGTGGGCGCGGCTGTTTTTTTTCTATTTACAGAACAAAAGTTTTTAACGCAACAGCGTGTGGGCGTTGTAAGCGAGTTCTGTGAAAAGTTTCGATCACTTCCCCCAAATTCTTTTACAAATTTAATAACACAAATATCACACAGTTTCGC